TCTCCAACTACAAATCGTGGGTTGGAGCTCATTTCCCTCCACCCACGTCTCTCGTTTTCCAACGGCTCATGCAACTCTCCCACCCCCCACCCCAACACTGACGGACATTATCGACGCCGCTTGAACGAGAAGATCGATAGCTTGTAGCATGATAGACATCAAGTAGCATGATGAATAGCTAGTACAATGATTGATACGCAGTAAAGTAACATGTACTAGCACTTCTATTTCCTAGCTCGAGTTGCATGTTGTAATTTGCCAGTTGAAATGAGAACGATGCCAGTTGAAATGAGAACGATGCCAAATGATAAGTAAGAGAAAGCAAGCTTTCTAAATTTACAGTGCATCGCATGTATGCTTCATGCTCTTGTAGTCTTGTACCTAATCCTGACAGAAGTCATGTAGTCTTCATATTCAGAATGAAGCAGAAACGAGTGTGTGATGTACCCCCTTATACATCTTACACCAGTCAGAACCATAAGATTCATTTTCCTCAAATGCTCTGTCAGTCTGCTTTGCAGAGTATAGGATTGGTAAATTGGTCTGTTCATATTGTGTAACAGAAATGGGATAATCTAACGACTCATTATGGTCATGCGATACACTACCAATATCCGTAAAACGTTCTCCACCACGCAATCGCTTCTGTACCCATTCGTGAATCGTGAAGCCCCCAGGCGGAAAACGCATCTTGTGAAAGGTTCATTCGACGCTGGAGGAAACCCTCCCGCTTGCTGGAGGGTTGGCCCTCGGGAATTGCTGACCGGGGGCAAAAAAAAATAAACCCCATCGCGACCGCATGCCATTCGGGAGTCTCAACCCTAAAATTTTAGGGTTTAGGCTCCCGAATGGCATGCGGTCGCGATGGGGTTTAGTTTTTTGTGCCCGCGGTCAGCTTTCCTCCAACACGAAATCTCCAACACGGGGAGTTGGAGCGTTCCCGCGCTCCAGCACCCGTAGGTACTGAGGTGAAATTTTCGTGGTGAACTCCCAAGGTGAAAGTCTCTAAGGTGTGACTTCTGAGGTGAAAAAACTTACTACCGAGCTGAAAATTCCTAGTACCGAACTGAAATACCCAGAGTGTGTGCCGTGCGGTTCCCCAGCACATTCCGTTCGAAAGCAGAACCACACCAGTCCACTTCTGCTACTTCCACAGCGAGAGAAACGAGTGCAGGCAGATATGGCCGACGGTCAAGTAGCAATTGCTTAGTTTCGAAGAAGATGCTCGGTTATTAGTTTCTGCAAAATTTCAAGCCCTATAATCGGCGAACCGCTCTAGAGCTCTGAAGGTAGCCGCGAACTTGCTACCTGGATTGCATATATCCCTCGGTTCCTTTGCTGTTCGCCATGGCGTGTCTTATTCCTTCATCATCCCCGTTAGTCGCTTCGATTCGCACTCTAGACTACGTCCAATCCGTGTTTTTCCATCCATGCAAGTCGCTCGATAAGAACCACAGAGAACCATTTGTATCTGCTTATTCCTCATGGCCAAGTCCGTACCAGCTCAGATTCGCCCCACAGGACCATCTTACACGGAAAGCCGCCGTCAGGATTCGAACCCCTAACCGTACGGTTGCGATCAGGTGCAGCGCTGAAAATACTTCCGCGCCAGCAGACTCACAGAGTGTGTAGGAGGGAAAGGATGCGAGGAGGAGGAGGAGGCAGTGACAGTGATTGCTCAAGTGCTGATGGCGAAGTTTGGCCCTCAGATTGTGAGAGAGAAGGTGGAGGAGGAGGGGGCTGGGAACGGCGGGAACGAGGAAGGAGAGGAGGTGGAGAGGGGGGAAGAAGCGGCGGCGGCGGAGGAGGATGGAATGGACAAAGAAGTGAAGGAGAAGGAAGCAGAAGCTGAAGCAAGTGAGGAGGGTTCACCAGGCACCACATCTCGCCGCGCACGTGCAACCACTCTCTCCTCCCTCCTCTCCCTCTACCGCTTCTTCTCCTCCCACCTCGGTATCTCATCCCCTTCCACTGTCGCTTCCCTTCTCGCCTCCTACCCCCAACCCCTCCGGTCCAATCCCACCAACGACTTCCTGCCACGTGTCCGTCTCCTCCAATCATTCGGCATATCTCACGCCGACATCGTCCACATAACTGTGAGAGGATCTGCCTGGCTCCGATCCCCCCTGCCACGGATCAACAGCAAGCTGAAGTTTCTTTTGGCTAAAGGCGTCCGCCGCAGCAGATTGGGCTTGGTGCTCCGACGTGGCCTGGACTTACTCCGCAAGGAGGCACGTTCAACGAACCTGGACATTCTGGTGGAGAAAGCAGGAATTCCTGTAAACAAGCTGGGTGTGATTGTAGAGAAATGTCCATCCATCTTGGCTCGGAGCAAAGAGGCCATAATTTTTCAGCTGGAGACCTTATCAGCCTATTTTAAGGTGGGATACAGGGGGAAGGCAGAAGCAGATAACACCAGCACAAGCCCCGTGAAGCAGCGTCTAGGTGAGGCACATCCTCTAAGCAGACTTATCCTGCAGTATCCAACCATCCTCTCCATTCCTCCCTATCGCATCGCAGAAAATATCGCCATCCTCCAGTCCTTCACTCCTCCAGGCACCCCCTCCATTGCGAGCTCTGTGCTCCGCCATGCCCCCAACCTCCTCGGTTATAGCAAAGAGACTCTTCTAGCCAAGCTCCAGTTCTTTGTGGAGCTGGTGGGGAAGCAGGCAGCAGGAAGAGTGGCGAGGAGTCATCCGGTGGTTCTGAAACTATCGAAGGAGAACCTGCAAGGCAAGCTGGCGGTATTGGTTGATTTGCTTGGGCAAGAGAATGCTGTGCGGGTGGTGGCACAATATCCTCTGGTACTGTCATCTAGTGAAGATAACATGCGAAACAGTTTCAGAAAGCTTGTGCAAGAAGTGGAAGAGGCATTGGAGAGTAAAGGAAAAGAGGGAAGTGGGCCGCTAAGGTTGGGGGGAGGTGACTGTTTGGAAGAGGAGAATGAGTCTGGGGTACAAGGCGACAAGAAATGCAGGGCTCATCAATTGGTGGTGGATTTGGTGGTGAAGGCCCCGCAGGCTATCTCCTGCAACTGGGAAGCCAACCTGAAGCATAAGGTGCAGTACTTAAAGCAAGGCATGGGGCTGTCTATTGCAGAGGTGCTTGCATTTCCGAAGTATGTTACCTACAGTTTGGATCAGCGAATCAGACCGCAACATGTGGCATTGTTGCAAACGGGCCATGTAGTGGTGGCACATGAGGCTGTTAGATGGAGGCGTGTTGAAGACAGGAGGGGTGTTTCGATTGGAGCTGGGGAAGAGAGGAGCAAGGTGTGTTATACTTTCTCACTTTCTGACAAGATGGAGAGAGTGGAGGGGATTGAATGGGGAGCGGAAGAAACAACTAGTGAAAGAAAGGGTGACAGGCAAGAGCAGCAGGGCGAAGGGGATGATTCTGGTAGTGGACCGCTGATTGAGGTGATCCTAGGACATAACGAGCCAGTGGTGGGAGCTGTTACAAATCAGCAGCTTGTGAATGTGGAGGTGGCAAGGAAGATGGTGTGCCTGCAACAGTTTATCCTATGTACAGACAAAGAGTTTGAGAAAAGGTTTGGGATCAAACTGTAGGGCTGGTGCTGATTGGCTTCCATTGTGCCGCGGGCCTCAAAGTCCATGCCTGAGAGTCAATGCCAATGCGCCAGTGCCTGATGTCTCTGTGTGCCTCTTCACATTAGCTCCTCTCTTCAGAAATCGCCATTGCATCATCCACTGTGGGGAGGATGGGGATGGGGAGAGGGGAGCGTTAGGGAGGGGGAACTATAGCTGGTGGAAGGCGATTGTGGCAGGGGCAGCGGGGGGCCCTGTTCTATGGGCTCTGTTTTCCTCGTTGAGTTCACTTAAGACATATGCTGGAGAGGAGGCGGCAGGGGGATTAGCAGAACTAGCAGCAGCAGCAGCAGCAGCAGCAGCAGCAGCAGCAGCAGTAGGAGCACGAGGAGGGGGGGATAGTGTGAGTGCTACAGCCTTGTCGCTGGGTCCACTGTTGCTGCCTGATGGGACTGGAGGGGATGTAGCTGCTACAGCTGCCTCTGCTACAGCTGCTGCGGCTCTCCCTCTGCTGGACCTGCTACAGCTGTTCCTGTTGGTGGCGGTGTCACTGGCTGTAGCTGAGGAGCTGCTGTTTAGAGGGCTGCTGCTCACGGCCCTGCAGGAGAGGCTCGGCAGGTGAGAGGCATGCTGTTGAGAGGCTCGGAAGGGAGGTTTGGCAAGGCCGCGCCTCCACCTGCTGCCCTTTTTGGGTTTGGCAATCTCCACACGTCCCCATGCACACACTCTTTTCCAGCAATCCAATTCCACTTTCTTGTTTTCTTCTTACCCTTGCCTGTCATGGTACATCTCATCCTGTCATAGTGCATCTCATCCTGTCATAGTGCATCACAGAACTGAAGTCAATAAGTCAAAGCGAATCATGCTGTTCAACTCAAGTCAGCAGGCCAAGTCTTTGTTTGACTCGCTCACCTTCGTGTGCTATCCCCATTCCTGCCTCTCTCTTTCCGAGTTTATGCTGTCATGCTCTCTGCAGCCCTCTTCGCCCTCTTCCACCTCTTCCTCTCGCTCCTCTTCCCCAACGTGGCCCTTGGGATTGCTGCTGGCCTGCTCGTCGTCCACTCCAATAACTTGCTGCCAGATGTCTGTCCACCTGCATACCACTTACCACAATGCATCTGCCCTTCTATGCACTCATAGCTATGTTTGCTGCTTCTGTTTAGCAAGAAGGTGCTCGTTGTCTCGTGGATGTCTTCCAATATGTGCTGGGGCACATTGCACAGAAATACTTGTACCGTATATCATTTTTCCTGTGGACCACATTGGGTAGTTGTTCTTCCTGAGACCGTTATAAACACCACACATACGGGAACACGCTAAGGCTTGAGGCGGCTGTGGGCGAAAGGGAGTTTCACTATCTAGTATTCAGGATCATACAGCGGGGATCATGGTCACACAAAATACCCAGCAGTATTCAATCCAATATGGCAGTAAACTAAAACAGCTCAACTACTAACGCAGGGCATATGGTTGCTGTGACCCGCGCCCAAGAGAGGCCATGCGTGAGTGTGAGGGAGCAAGTGGGGCTGTGTGTCTCTCCACATTGTCAATCACAATGGCCAGACCAGCCAACCATTCCCGGCAGTGCTCCCGAACCTTAAGTGCGTTCTGAGCCTCATGCATGATGAAATCACATCGTTGATGCGACTCTGTAAAGGGTACACCATCCCAAACCCACCCCCACCGACGCTGCTGCTGCTGCCACTGCCAGTGTTGGTGGTGCTGCTGCTGGTGCTGGCGGTAGCAGGTACGCCCCCCTGGCCACCTTGAGGCTGGAAGTGCCGCGTGATGGTCTGAACGGCCAGGCGCAACCTGCTACCCACCACGTTGAAGAGAACCTTCCTGGAAGGCGGGGGGGGTTCGGAGAGGCATGAGCAGGGGGGATAAAGGATTTAGGACAAACCAAGTTATGCTAGCAGACTCACGTCAAGAAAGAGACTTTCTTATAAAAAGTGACTTACATGAAGCTTCTGAGTCAACTCAAAAGCAGACTCACGTCAGATTAGAGACTTACTTATGAGAAGTGACTTACGTGAAGTGACTCACTTAAGCCCGTTTTACAATGTGGATGAGAGGATGTGCGCAGACCGTAAAATGAAAGCTAACAGACTTACTTAAAGTTAATAGAATAGACTTACGCAAACCAAAAGACTCAATTGTGGTCGTCTGACAGCATGTGGTTAAGGCGGTCGATCTGCTCCTTGGGCAGCTTCACAGAACGGCACATGTCTTGCCGCACAGTGAAGGCCAGGGAGGGATTTGACAGCTTGACGGCCGTATGGGTGTAGACCATCAGTGCTGCTTCAATCACCTGCGAACACGTGTGCAGAATTTTAGAGCAGGAGGAAAACGACGGAGGAGGATCAAGCTTGAGGAGCGAGATGTGGAAACGAGCTTGGGAAGTGAGGTTCGGAAACGCATGCAACTTCACGCTGCAAACGATGCTCGTATTCGTATGTGTTTCCGTCCATCCTCAGGCAGAGTAGTGGTACGTACGATTCGGCCGCACCTCATGCATGTCAGTCAGCAGGCGCACCATGCTCTTGATGCTGCAAACCGCGTTTCACACCGCATCCATGCCAGCAGGCGGAAACTTGTGCCTAATTCGGTCTATGAGCCCTTCAAACGGCACGTGGTGCCGCTGTTTCTCTCACCTTACAGAACACAGACTTGGAGCAATGAAAAAGACCCCTCAGAGCAATGAAAACACTCGTCTCCCAGCTCACAGGTCACAAACTCACCTCATCCATGTCAGCTGGAGGCAGCATGTACTTCATCCGATCCACGAGCCCCTCCAACAGCACGCGCTGCTGCTGCTTCTCCCCCAGCGAGGCTGCCACGCTGGCAGATCTGCATGGCGTAGATCTGCATGGCGTAGATCTGCATGGCGTAGATCTGCACGGCTGGCAGGTGCAGGAAGCTGATCTGCTCTTATGCAACTCCACCAGGACTCGGTCACTTTCACACGCCGCCTGTCAGTGTGGGGGGAGAAAGGCAAAAAGGGGAACACCAGCTGGTGGGTAGATCTGCACGGCTGGCAGGTGCAGCAAGCTGATCACCTCTGGCACCGGGTCAAACTCCCACTCCACCAAACATTCAGTCACCTCCACGCACCGCCTGTCGGAAAAGCAAGATGAAGGGGGAAGGGGAGTGAGGTGGTAGGATTCATGTGAAATTGATGTGCACGGCTGGCAGGTGCAGGAAGTTGAGATATTCTTGCGCCCGATCGAACAGGGGGGAATTTGAGATGGAGGGGCACCCTATCAGACGTTGCGAGTGCATTGCTGCTGCCTGCCAGGTCTGCTGCTGCGTTCTGCCTGGATTCTGTTCCCGTTTTAAAGAACAGCTGAGGCGGGCACGGGAGGAGAGGTCACAGTGTAAACCTGGGAAACCACCCAGGCACGCAGACACAAAAGGCGGGGCAGACGAAGCACCAGTGGTAACCAGCTCAGCTCAGAACAACCTGCGCAACTGCAAGTGCATGTCAAGATGGTTTGAATGCAGCTCTTGGTGGAAATAGCAGGTGCATCCACTTATTCCCACCTGTGCCCGCTGCAGGTGTGTTGGTGCGGTGCGAAGATCGGGCGAGTAGAGGAAGAGCTGGATGCTGCACCGCCCTGCTGCCACGTATCCCTCCTTGGCTAAGAGCTGATGCAGGGAGAAGAAGGGGGCAGGGTGGAGGGGGTGAGAGCGACGGGGGAAGGAGAAGGAGGCAAAGTGTGGGATTGACTAGGAAGAGTTGGATGGATGCTGCACAGCCCTGCTGCCATGCAGTACTCCCTCCTTGGCTAGCAGCTGATGGAATGAGATGAGGAGAGGGGAGGCGGGTGGAGGGGGAAGAGGAAGGGAGGTAAGCACTGGGATCGGGTTGGTGATGGGTGCTGCACAGCCCTGCTGCCGCGTAGACCTTGGCTGAGAGCCGAGAGAGGGAGGGGAGGGGAGGGTGGAGCGGAAAGAAGAGAATAAAAAGACTGGATTAGCCAGAGAGGTTTGGACGATGCATAGACCTGATTGCACGCCAGTAGCTCGCGGAGAGGGACACTTAGAAAGGTACAGAAAATGGCCGATTGGTCTGTCGGCCTAATAGCGGAGAAGATGCATTCCCTGTGTGTGTGCAAGACGTTGTTGCTCCTTGGCTGATGTCTGCAATAGCTAAGAAATGTACAGCCTAACTCAGGCTAACTTGGGCTCACCACAGGTAGAGGAGGAAGTGGATTGCTTTTTTTTTTCCTCCTTTCTTTAATAATTGAAGGCCTTATGAGACATTGAGGAAGCGGCAGTAAAAGGAGGGACGAATGCGGCTTACACACAAGAAGAGGAAGAGAAAACAAAGAGAGGACGATTGGAGCTTACGATCGGAGCTTACAAAGTCAAAAGAAAAAGTGGAATTTCTTTTGAGACTCGAAAAATGTGCAGATGCGGGAGAGAGCAGCCAGACACTTGACATTCCCACTCGCTCATGCTGCTGATGCTGGCGATGCTGCTGCTGCTGCGACAGAAATATCACCACCAGCAGCACCACCATTCGCACCTCCTGCTCCTAGCGCCTCCACCACCAATCTTTTCTTTCCAGCACCTCAACAGCTCCGTACGACACACACAGTGCGCACAGCTCTTCTACAGTAGCGTAATCTGACTGTAACGGATCCTAGTCTAATAACGGGGACAGGGACGGCCGAGCCAGGGTGAGGGAAAAAGTGAGTGTCTGAGGGGCCAGAGGGAATGGGAGAGTGTCAGGGTGGTGCTGCTGTTGGTGCTGCTGTGCTTGGGTGTGAATGACAGAGAGCGTGGGGAGGAGGAGGAAGGGTGGGGAGGAGGAGGAAAAAGAGGGGGAAAGAAGATGAGCCAGCAGGCGGAGGGATAGCGATTGCGTCTGAACATGAAGGGGAGGCGATCCCGAGGGGCATTCTGCTGGGGAGAAAGAAGGGCAGATGGCAAGACAAGCCAGGCAGGTATGAATGTCGGGAGAGATGAACAGGAGCCAAGCTGCGTGGGAAATCAATAAGGTACTTCGAAAGCAGGTCCCACAAAAGAGCAAGTCAGAGTAAAATCAACCAAGTCGTAGACTACAGGCATGCAGAAACACAACACGATGGGGAAAAGAAAAGCGCAGTCACTTACTCTCTTGAACAGCTGAGTGCACACTCGAAAAAAAAGTCCAGGTACCCAAAAACGTCTCCCTCTCCCCATCCTCCACCACTGCAACCCCTTCTCCTTGCCCCTCACCTCGATCCCTACTTTCCCCATCCCTATTCCCGCCGTCACTACTCTCCCCGTCCCTATTCTCTTCTCCCCAGTCACTACTCTCCCCGCCCCTATTCTCCCCGCCTCAATTCTCCCCATCCCTACTCTCCCCGTTCCTACTCTTCCCGTCCCTCTTCGCCCGTTCCTACTTTCCCCGTCCCTACTCTCCCCTTCCCTCCTCTTCTCCCCGTCCCTATTCTCCCCGACTTTATTCTCCCCGTCCCTACTCTCCCCGTCTTTAATCTCCCCGTCCCTACTCTCCCAGTCCCTACTCTCCCGTCCCTATTCTCCCCGTTCCTACTCTCCCCCTCAACTCTCCCGGTCCCTACTCTCCCCGTCCCTACTCTCCCCGTTCCTACGCTCTCTGTCCCTACTTTCAAAGTCCTTATTCTCCGCATCCTTACTCTCTCCATCCCTACTCTCCCCGTCCCTATTCTCTTCTTCCTGTCTCTACTCTCCCGCTCCCTATTCTCCCCGTCCCTACTCTCCCCGTCCCTACACTTCCCGTCCCTACACTTCCCGTCCCTACACTCCCCGTCCCTACACTCCCCGTCCCTAAGCTCTCTGTCCCTACGCTCTCTATCCCTACTTTCCCGGTACTTATTCTCCGCATCCCTACTCTCTCCGTCCCTACTCTCCCCGGCCCAATTCTCCCCGTCCCTACTCTACCAGTCCCTATTCTCCCCGTCCCTACTCTACCAGTCCCTATTCTCCCCGTCCCTACTCTCCTCCCCCTGTGCCTACTCTTCCCGTCCCTATTCTCTTCTTCCCGTCTCAACTCTCCCCGCCCCTATTCTCTTCTTCCTGTCTCTACTCTCCCGCTCCCTATTCTCCCCGTCCCTACTCTCCCCGTCCCTACACTCCCCGTCCCTACTCTCTCCGTCCCTACTCTCCCCGGCCCAATTCTTCCCGTCCCTACTCTACCCGTCCCTATTCTCCCTGTCCCTACGCTCTCTGTCCCTACTTTTACTGCCCCTATTCTCCTCATCCCTACTCTCCCCGTCCCTACTTTCGTCGTGCATACTTCCATCGTCCCTTATTCCGCCTTCCTATTTCCCGTCCCTATTTCCGCCTGCCTATTTCCCGTCCCTGATTCCGCCTGCCTATTTTCTCGTCCCTATTTTCCGCCTGCCTATTTCTCGTCCCTATTTTCCGCCTGCCTATTTCTCGTCCCTATTTTCCGCCTGCCTATTTCTCGTACCTATTTTCCGCCTGCCTATTTCCCGTATCATCGCGCATCACTCCGTGCCACCGCAGTCCCGCGCATCCCTCCGCCAGTGGTGGCGGCCGCCAACGGTGCTCGCGCGTGAATGCGCGTATCTCACCCGCCTCGTCACACGCACACCTGCCGCTTCAGTTCCGCCCACGCGCCTGCAGGCGCGCCTGGCAGAAGGGCGGTGAGCGCACGCCAAGCGAGGCGAGCAGCAGCGACGTGCACCGCGCGACGGCGCTGCCACTGTGATTGGATCAGCGCGCACCTACCATACTTCCCAACGAGACTGGCCCCTAGTATATCGTATCTACTAACCTAGTCGCTGGTTCCAACTGTTCCCCCCATGTCGTTTGCGATCCGCTGCTGTTTTCACCATAAGCATGAAGCTATACTCAGTAGGAGCGGGCTTACGATTGCGGATAGTGCACGGAATTGGTGAATATCGGGAGTGCGATTACAGAGAGACTGACGATACAATTGAAAATGACGGGATTATATAGGGAAAACCCTAGCAGCTAGGCGAGAACCTCGGAAAAACGAGGCTCGGTAGTGTTGCGAACAAAACGGGGGCGACTCGGGGGTGGTCGGGGCGCGTTTGTAGGCCGAACCAGCGAGAGAGTTGCCGCGGCGCGGGTTTTGGTCTCGTGAATTTTTCTTATTGCGCTCAAATTTTTCCACAACCCGAAAGACACACACTCCACCTTCTATCGCGAGCGGCACGCGCTCCCCCCTTTTCGCGTCATTTAATCACTTTACGGGTTTTATTTGGGGAGGTTCCAATTTGTCGGTGGGCAGTTTGCTGGGTGACATCGAACATAACTGCCATGCGGTGTTAGCTGATTGGTCATTTCGTTCCTCAAAGTGTGGATAACAGGTTCGGACAGGTTCGAGCGCGAACAGGCTCGACAAAGTGCTGCGGATCACTGTATCAGACAGTACAGTCGTGTGGGCTTAGTCGTGTCGCAATACGATTGGTCTAATGAAATTCACTGTACTGATTTTTACACCGCGCAGATCGCATGTAGTGCAGTGCTGCGCCCATGTGGCACGTAGCTGTCAGGCACTCAGTCGTTTCCTTCCAGCCCTTGCCTCGCGGAAGATTTGAAGCCGTGTTAAAAAACTGATCCATAACACTTTGAGTATCGGCCAATGATTTAGCGCCACGTCATACTATCGAAGTGAAGTTATTCAAGTGCGTGCTGATGTGGTAAAAGGGCATTCTTTGTGTGCTCGATACTATATACAGCGACCGTTTCACAACGAAAAAATCATCAGTAGATTGTAAATACATATTAGGAGGGAATAATTTTAACAAAATAAACAGCACCCAACTACAGATATAAAAAACCCAGTTCATAAACCAGCCATATATTATAACACTCAGTTCCATTTTGCTATACTGTGAAAAACCGTTGATCACTTTTTTGCAAAATTCTGCAACTCCATGGTTTTTGGGGGGAAATTTACATATTGTGATCTTGTATGTGAAATAATTTGTTTATTGTTGAAGACATCAATACTGTACTTAGGTTTGTTATTTTGTTTGAAGAACTTTATTTTTACTTATCTATTCATTGTACTTGTGCACTGAGGCATGATCATCATAGTGAGTAAACGGAAAGAATCATGCCTTTGCCAGCATTTTTACACTTGCGATCAACCTTTTTACACGCATAATCAACCGTGCTATGGACCTTGTTAACTCAATATATGTATGGTCAGTTGTGCCTGCATTACATTATTTCTGCCATGCCCAATTGGCGTTGTTATGCCTTGTGAGAGACCATAACATTACCCACCTGATTAATAAATTTAGAGACAATAATAATCAATTGCTATGCTTATCTCTTGTACTGCAATTGTTTGACGATGCTCCAATCATATGCTGCTATATTTTCAAAACTCTGAGTAAATAGCTCAACATGGAAACTGTATTGTTATGATAGATAAATGAGCTATTAACTTAGATTGTCGTGCAAAAATCTACGCACTACCAAACAACGGTTACGAAGAACAGTTATATGTAGTTTTACATGTTTTATCTATCAATTAATCGTTAACGGAACGTAATGCTCTGCGTATATCGACACTCCTTGCTTTCTGAACCCTAAATTAATCGTGCGCGATCGTGATTGGTTCGGTTGGTGGCACTGAGGTCTGACGTGTCTAGTGTTCCAAACTCATGTCGGTGCTGCGGCGTTCAAAACGAACAACGTCAGATCAGCTGACGAGGCGATCTACCCAACGCACACAATACGAACCTGCACTTCTATTGGTGCTTGTTCGCGATGCGCAGCTCGAAATGCTTCCTCTCGTGCTTATGAGCCTGACGGTTCAATGACTGCCATTTGGCGCTTCGTGGATTTTCGACAGAGTGGCTCATTATCGAGCCTAACATACGAGCCGTCACACGTAGGCTTGGCAACCCAGTGCTACGCAGGTTTGGCTCCAACAATGTTGGAGCCCCTCATTTGGGTTCCTTGCAAAAAGTTCCGACATGACCGTACACTCACATGTACACTACCAAATTGTAGTCAAAATGTCGGGAGCGCGTACCGCTCGCGATGGAAGGTGGAGGGTGTGTCTTTTGGGTTGTGGAAAAATTTGAGCGAGATGAAAAAAAATCCCGAGACCAAAGCCCGCGCCGCGGCAATTCTCTCTCGAACCAGCTGACGCTAACTTCTCGAAAACATATCCGCTAAAATGCGACAACAGTGATTTGAATATAATTTCTTACAACGTTTTGTAGTTACCATTCGTATTTGCAATTACCTGCACTATAAACTACAATATATCATTTTGCTACAGCCGCGCACAACGGATATAAGATGCAGGAAGTCTTTCATATCAAATCATTCTCCCACAATAATGTACAAAATCAAAAGTGAGAGAGAATTAAACACGTGGGGCCGAGCGGCGACGTTAAACACGTGCGCGGCTTCAATGGGGCGCTGCAGGACGTCAAGGGACGTGGCACGGTTGCACTGCAAGGGGAGGCCGGGAAGCGGGTGCTCATCCCCGACGTGCTGTACGTCCCCGGCGTGCACGCGAACCTGCTGTCATCCGGCCAGCTGAAGGAACACGGCGTGAAGCTGAAGGAGGACGGCGACGGCATGCTGCTCGTCTCGGCGACGGGCGACGTGCTTGGTCGCGCAACGTACTCCGGCCGGGTCCTCTGCACCGACCTGCGTCCCTGCTCGGTGTCGACTGCAGCGGAGGAAGTGGCTCTGCGGGCCATCGTCTCGGCGACGAAGGCGACGCCGGACAGACTGCACGCGAGGCTCGCGCACGTCGGTATGGACACCATCCTGAGCTCGGCGAAGCACGAGGTCGCCACCGGGCTGGACCTCAAGTCGGCGTCCGGCGCTGCCTCGCCCTGCGTTTCGTGCGTCGGTGGGAAGCTGGCGCGGCACACCTTCCCCGACAAAGGCTCCGACGCCAAGGACGCTCTGGCCGTCGTGCACATCGACCTGTGCGGGCCGTTTCGCGTGGCTGCCAAGGACGGCAGCCTGTACTTCTTGCTGCTGAAGGACCGCAAGACCCGCTACGTGTGGGTGCGGCCGGTCGCCAAGAAGTCAGACGTGCTGCTGGAGTTCCAGAAGTGGCTGGTGCTGGTGGAGCGGCAGACGAAGAAGTCGGTGTTGCAGCTGCGCTCTGACCGAGGAGGGGAGTTCCTCGGCCGGGAGTTCACTGCCTTCGTGGACGGCAAGGGGATCGTCCACGACCTCACCTGCCCCTACACCCCGCAGCAGAATGGCATGGCGGAGCGGGAGATGAGGACGGTGGTGGAGTCGGTGCGGACGATGCTGCTACACATGGGCGTGCAGCACCACTGGTGGCATCTCGCCCTGCGGCAGGCCGTCTGGGTTCGCAACTGCCTGGAGCGGTCGTCGCTGCCAGCGGGGACGACGCCGTACCTGCTTCTCACCGGGCAGAAGCCCGACCTGTCACTGGCGCGGGTGTGGGGCTGCATGGCGCAATTCCTCGTCCCCGAGCAGCAGCGCGGTGGGAAGCTGAAGCCGAAGGCCCGGTGGGGCCTTCACCTCGGCGTGTCGGAGGAGAGCAAGGGCTGGGAGCTCCTCGACATCGCTGACAACCGGGTGGTCACCACGTCGGACGTGGTGTTCTACGAAACTCTTTCGCTGGAGGTGTGGAAGTCGGAATTCGGGCCCGCGTCGGGGCGGACGCGGGCCAACCCGCCGACGGACACCTCGACGGCGACGCTTCCTCTGCTCGCCGAGGTTGGTGAACAGGCTGATGAGGATGTTGCGGTCGCCCCTGCATCTCCTGCCCCTTCTTCCCCTCCCCTTCCAGTCGGACAGCGTGGCTTGACTTCGGTGTCGGCCTCCGGCGATGAGGGGAGTAGTGGGGCGTCGCCTGTGGCGCCGGCCAAGAGCATCGCCGGTGGCCGACGCGATGCCCAGCCAGTCGCGGAGAAGCGGGCCGCGGATGTGCAGCCAACGTTGGACGCCGCGAAAGAAGCCGCGAACAACACCGCGAAGGAGACTGCGACGGGCACCGGGAAAAATACCGCGAAAACCGCGGACAAGACCGCGGACGAGACCGCGGAGGAGATCGCGGAGGAGACCGCGAAGAAGCCCACGGAGGAAACCGCGAAGCCGTCGACAGAGGAGCTCTCGAACAGGAAGTGCGTGTCAGAGAAGCCGTTGTCAGGGGAGCATTCGAACGCGGAGCTCGCTTCAGAGGAGCGGACGACAGGGGAGCAGTTCGATGAAGGCACATCGAGTGACGTGGTGGAGGTGCAGCCCGGACCTCGGACGTCGGGCCGAATTCGGAGGCCACCCGACTTCTTCGTCCCCGCTGCCTTCACCACGGTCTACGATGTGGACGACGACGACCTGCACGATGACGCCGAAGACGATGAGGAGTTTTCGGAGCTCGACCCCGACATGCACGCCGATCCCGAGCACCGTTGGGACATTTCGACCATGACGGTGAAGGAGGCGTTAGCGAGCTGGAAGGGCCCGGCGGTGAAGGCAGCCATGGAGGAGGAGATTCGTAGCCTCATCAACATGGGCACTTGGGAGCTGGTCGAACGCCCGCCGGGGGTGAATATAATGAAGAACCGGTGGGTGC